GTTGGGTGGGCCACTAGCTTGTGCGGGCCACTAACTTGTGGATTACGTTAACGTGTTCTACATGCATGTGGTGGTTACAAGCGAGTGGTGGCGCTTAATTTTTGGTGCGATTTGGACGTTTTGACACCCCAGCAATCTCAACAACCATAAAGTATTAAACAAGATTATATGAATGCATATAGTATTTAGCTCATTTCAATGGCTAGGCAATAGTTTGGAGTGATGTGTCTCTGTAATTCTATTATATCGTAGATCTTACCCAATGCTAGGGGGCCAAAACTCTACTATAACTAAATGTGGCCATTAAGAGACCCTAAAAATTTGTCTTATAATATTGAAACAGCTATGCATATCTTTATTCTAAGTTATAGATTCAAATCTTTTATAGTTGTTGAGGTTGCTGGGGTGTTAAAACGTCCAAATCGCACCAAAGATTAAGCGCCACCACTCGCTTGTAACCACCACATGCATGTAGAACACGTTATATAGAACGTCGGGCGGGGTAACCCGACCGACAAGAAGACACCACACACACACAATCAATCATACTCTGCTGCTTGATATCATTTCCAATCCCGCTTCATCCCGTGCACACCTAAGTGCGACATATTATATTCTTCCCCGTTATTGAAACGCCGTTTTGCTCTAGAACACGAATGCAAGTCTTGGCATTCCAGCCACAATCACGTCACAGACCAAGGCACGTGGTGTACCACTGTGCTAAACAGTACTTCCATTAAAGTTCAGAGCCTGCAAGGGTATGGTCGGTACAGGTTGGCTATCCTCCCTATTAACAGTGGCAACATTAAGTGCTAAACCATCCTTACCACAGTATAAAGTTGCTGATTAAGCGCTATTACTATGTCACGTGATGTGAATTTGCTAAAGCTCAGCCGCGTTGCTGCCTGGCCCAACAACTGCAACTTCCATCGGGTGTTATTTTATGAATTTTCCAGCCAGCACAAGTTATAGTCTTTTGACTGCTCAACCTATGCACGTCCTGGTTACATCTATTGCAGTTATTTCCTTGCCTAGAGCCCTCCGGCAATCCTCTCATGCGTCTTTTGCAGCTTAACGATGCCGGGGAATTCAGCCTGGTTGAATATGTTGGGAAGAGTATTCCACCTTACGCTATTCTTTCACACAGATGGGGAGCGGATGATGAGGAAGTGACTTTTAAAGACATAGTGAAAGGTACAGGCAAGAGCAAAGCTGGCTATACAAAGATCCAATTTTGTTGGAAACAAGCTGCCAGGAACGACCTCCAACACTTCTGGATAGATACCTGCTGCATTGACAAGTCAAGCAGCGCTGAGCTTTCAGAAGCCATCAACTCCATGTTTTGCTGGTACCAGGATGCAGCAAGATGCTACGTGTATCTGCCTGATGTTTCAGACAGCCCTCCTAATGAAGATGGCAAATCCTCTCAGAGATGGAAACCATCATTTAAAAAAAGCAAATGGTTTAGTCGTGGCTGGACACTTCAAGAGCTTATTGCCCCGGCATCCGTTGAGTTCTTCTCCAAGCAGGGAACACGGCTTGGCGACAAGCGATCACTAGAACAATCTCTCCATGAGATAACAGGAATCGCCATTCAAGCCCTTCGAGGAAGCCCTATGTCTTGTTTTACAGCGGATGAGCGCATGTCATGGGCTGCAAGACGAGAGACAAAACGCGAAGAGGATGCGGCATATTCTCTGCTAGGCATTTTTAACATCCACATGCCACTTATATACGGCGAGGGACAGAAGAAAGCGTTTATTCGGCTGCGGAAGGAGATCGAAGAGCGGCCCGCTAAGCCCCTGCCGTCCTCGACCGTCCCCTTCCGGCGGGACGACAACTTCATTAGCCGCGACAGCCTCGACAGGGTACGCCAGATCTGCGCCAGGCCAGCAGCTCGCGCGGCGCTCGTCGGACTTGGAGGCGTTGGGTGAGTGCTGTACCTTACAAGCGTAACGCCAACGCTGACAGCCTGCGCAGGAAGTCCCAGATCGCCATTGAATATGCCTACCAGGTGCGGGACGAGTTGCAGGGCGGGTCACCGATGACATGGGTGTTCTGGGTGCACGCCGGTACGCAGGCGAGGTTCGAGGAGGGCTATCGTAGAATTGCTGAGACAACAAGGATAGACGGCTTCGACAGCCCGAAAGTGGATGTTCTGCGGCTCGTCCGCAACTGGCTCTGCGACGAGTCGAACGGGCGATGGGTGATGATTGTTGACAATGCTGACGATTCGGCCATCTTCTTCCCTCCACATTACGAAACACAAGCTAGTGGAGTTAGTAGTCCAGGTCAGGCAGCAGAGCCGCTGTCAGACTTCCTACCGCAATCGCCAAATGGGTCCATCCTCATCACCTCTCGGAGCCGAGATGTGGCGCGCAGACTAACGGGGCGCGGAGATTGCCTCGTGGAGGTCAAGCCGATGGACAAGGGCGAAGCACTAGCTCTTCTCCAGAAAAAGCTCAGCTTTAATGCGAGCGAGCACAACGCGATTGAACTGCTTCAAGCCCTCGACTACATGCCCCTTGCCATCACGCAGGCGGCGGCTTATATTGAATAGAGAGCGCCGCGTATGACCATCTCGCGATATATAGACGAAGTTTGCAGAAACGACCACGACCGAGCCCGTCTGCTTACAAAGGACGTAGGAGACGATCGCAGGGACGGCAGAGCGTCTAATTCCATCATTGCCACCTGGCAGATCTCGTTCGCACACATCCGGAAGGCGATGCCCACGGCGGCTCGACTATTGTCGCTGATGAGTCTTTTCGACAGGCAGGGGATTCCGGAGTCGCTTCTCCATAATCGATATTGGCGAGATGATGGTGCCAAGGCCGACTTTGAAGAGGATATCCACACATTAACTAGCTTTTCGCTAGTTGAGATGAGCGCAGATGGGCACGAATTTGAGATGCACCGGCTGGTGCAGTTTTCGACAAAGAAATGGCTAGAACTGTATGATGAACTAGAGGAATGGAAGGAGGCGTACGTAACACTGATGGACGACAGCTACCCGGTGGGACGGCACGAGAACTGGGTGGTGTGTCAAGCGTTGTTTCCGCACGCGCAATCAGTGGCAGCCTGTCGGCCAGCGGGCGGACGGACAGTTCAGGCGTGGGCGTCGGTTTTGTTTAAGGCCGCGTGGTATGCAGGCGATATGGGAAAGTATAAAGAAGCAGAGGAAATGGACCGAGGTGCATTAGAGGCACGCGAGGCTGCTTTAGGAGCAGAGCATCCCTCTACGCTAACAAGCGTGAGCAACCTAGCGTTGGTACTGCAATACCAGGGGAAGTACGAGCAGGCTGAAGACATGAACCGACGAGCGCTGGAGGGGAGCAAGAAGGCGCTGGGGAAAGAGCATCCCGACAC